CTTTTAATACTACATGAAAACAATGGAGAAGGAGCTCTGGGCATTTAGAGACTACCCTGAACCACCTCTTCCTTAGAGTTTTTGAAAACTAATTTCACATAAAAATGAGCAACAGAAATGTATCTAGGTCAACCCCCACACAAAGTTATTATAAGGAAGAAAAAAAAAAGAATAGCATTTGTACAGATAGTAAAAGCATGCCAGAAAATCATGCCCAAAGAAGAGATTAAAACATAACATTTCAATACGAGCTAAGAGGCATTAATGAAATAATATGACATGAAAGAAGAGAAGAAATCAGAATTAGGAAACTCAGATATGGGATAAAAGAACTTTGGGAAGAATAAAATTATAAAAGAAATGAAGCTTAACTAGAACAAAACAAGGACAGTGGAAGCAATACAAAATGACTTAGAGAAAGAGAAGATGAAAGAGAAGACTTTTCATGTTAAGACAAATGAGGATGGGCATGGTCGTGCATGCCTTTAATCCCAGCACTTAGGAGGCAAAGGCAGGTCCATCTCTGTGAGACTGAGGCCAGTCTGGTCTACACAGCAAGTGCCAGTACAGCTGGGGATACAAGGAAACCCTGTTTCATCCCCACCCACCCCCAAATTCCAAAGAAAAGACAAATGAAGAAGGTTAGGGACATCTCATCGACAGAGCGCTTGTCTGGCATGCACGATGCACTGCACAGACACCCACAGAGATAAAGAAGGATTCAGAGGGAGGCAAAATATCAAAGACAGGTGATGAAGAATCAATATATGGAACCCCAGAGGAAACCCAAACCAAGGAAACTGAAGAAATATTTTTAAACTTTCCTGCAATTAGAAATATACATTTGAGGGGGCTGGAGAGATGGCTCAGCTGTTAAGAGCACTGTCTGCTCTTGAAGACCTGGGTTTAAATCCCAGGACCCACATGGTGGCTAACAACTGCCCATAACTACAGTTCCAGGGGATCTGACATCCTCTCCTATCTTTCTTAGGCATTGCACAACACAGGTGCACTTATATGAATGCAGGCATAACACTCACACATAAAAAATAAAAGTGAATAAAAAAATGAAAAAAAATACATTGGAAGTCATGTACTCAGAGAGCATAGTGTATGCCTGAGAGCATGGATATGTAACAACGCATAGATGAGACGTGTTCTACTTGGATGACTAACCTTCATAAAAAACAAACCAAACACCCCTGTCCTTTGAACTACTTGGCAAAACCAAGATGTGGCTTCCACGGAAAAAGCCTAGATCAATATTAGGTTTTTAAAATATTTTATTTATTATCTTTATTTTATGTATGAGTGTTTTGCCTACATGTATGTAAGTACACTATGCGTGTACAATGTTGTTAGTCACCATATGGCTGTTGGGAATAGAACCCAGGCCGCTTGGAAGAACAAGTGTTCTTAACCACTGAGCCATTCTCTCCAGCCCCAACATTGGGGTTTTTAAAAAATAATGTATTTAAGATATTTAGGGAAAGAAATTGTGTGCTGAGGATTAATTTGTGCATTGGAGTGTGTGTGTGTTTATGCATGCATGTGTGCTGGTACACACATCCATGAATATGTAAGGAAGCCAGCAGAGGACACTGGGTATCCTGCTGTTATACCCTCTGTCTTACTCCTTTGAGAAAGGGTCTCTCACTGAACCTGGAGCCAGGCTGCTGGCCAGCAAGCCCCAGTGATCCCCCTTTCTCTACTTCCCCAATCCCCATAGCACTTGGGGTTATAGTATGTGTGCAGCTTTTTATGTGTTGCTGGGGATTTAAGCTCAGATCCTCCTGTTTGTGCCTCAGAAAGTTCTCTTCCCCGCTGAGCCAACTCCCCAGCACCAGTGCCAAGGATTTATATGCAGAAAGATTCTGACCTTCAAGTCTAAAGGTCACAGACAGCTTGCTATCAATATGCAAGAATTCAAAGACTATTTTTCCCATGAGTTCTTCCTGAGGAATGAACTTTAGACAACAGTTCTACTGGATAGAAATCCACACTGAGGTAGGGGGTGAACATAAATCAAACAGTTGTTGATTGAAAGGGTGGGTATTCTATGCAATGCCAAATGTTCAGATCATATATAGTTCAATGATTTTAAAAGATGGAGAGATAGGCTGGGACTGGAAAGGTGGCTCAGCATTTAAGAGCACTAACTGTTCTTTCGGAGAACCTGGGTTCGATTCCCAGCACCCACATGTTGACTAACAACCGCCCACAACTCCAGTTCCAGGGGAACTGACATCCTCTCTGACCTCCATGGGCATTGCACCTACCTACATGCAGGCAATATACTCATACACATAAAATAGAAAATAATAAAGAAAATAAAAAAGGTGGAAAAATGAGAAAAATGTACATGCAAAATCCAATCTTAACTGATCTCTATAAATGTTAAATATATGAAATAGGAAATACATTAGAACTGATATTATGAGATTGTTATGTGTGTAATAAGGGACAGGTAGAAGAGTAATTATGGGCTAGTTTAATTCTATCAATCATTTTGACAATTAGATCTTTGCAGGAAAGGACTTTGTAAAGGAGAAAAAAGAGATTAAGAAAAATATTCAGTAGTTCTGAATTTGAATTTGAGTGTCAACATGAACTCACTAGGTATTTTATCTTAAGCATTATATATTTAAGTATATATGCATGTTTTCTATCACTGTCTACTGAAGAGGCTTAGAAAGATTGACCATTCAGTATAATAGGGATTCCCAAGTACCAAGCTGTGGCCTTGAAATAGTACTTGCCACTAAAAAAACTTGGGTCTGTAAGATGACAGTTTCAAGCCCAGGGCTGGACATGTACAAGACATGACTACAATATCCTGTCTCTCAGGTTACCGAGGAAGCTGCCCAAGATTATTTGAGCTTAAGGTTAAGTTGAAGACCAGGCCCTGTGACCTTCTGGTCAAAGAAGGGGTCATTTGAACTTCAGTGGGATAATGATTGCAATTGACTGAAACACATCAGGTTTGCTTATATTCATGAATTCCTGGCATTTTTAAAGAAGACTGATTATTTTGAAATGCTAATAGAAAATCAGTGCATTCTCTTGAAAAACTGTTAAGTAAGCAAAACAAATTAAGCATTTGTCATGTCTTTTCTGTACGAACTATACTACTAAGTACTATGGGAAAAATCTTAAAATACGATGAGGGAACATGTTGGTCTAATATACTGCAATTAATAAATGAAAAATAAATACTGAGATATTCTAATTTTATGCCTCCCAATAAATCACTACATTTCACAATTGAGCATCAACAACTGCTGGAATCAGAGAGGAAAGAGAGCTGGAGCTAGAGTGAGAACAAGAGTGAGGGAGAGAGAGAGACAGAGACTGGTTTGTGGTAGCTTCCTTATTTCTAAAGTGATACCACTTATCATTTTGCCAAGGGAATCAAGCTGCATTGTGACCAAGCCTCTGGATCTAACTTCCAGTTCAGAGGATCTGCAGAGCTCAGAGGACCAATTCAGTGACATCATAGGCATACATGATGTCAGTATAGATCAGACTATTGGAAATATTACATGTAGAATTTCACAGCTAAATTTCAAGGAAAAGGGAAAGATGAAAAGCCAAGTTGTAGATTGTGATAACCTGGGAGATACATCATAAATGCAAAATGTGGGCAAGACAATGGTTATGATAAAAGTATAAAGAAATGTAAGGAAACAATTAGTATGAAATTCAGGATGTTTCTTTTGTGGGTGGGTAGAAGAGCCCATGAAGGCATGACACATATGGATGGGAATTCTGGGGAGGCTAGTTATCTGTTCTTGCCGACTTGGGCTGTTTATGAAAGAGTTCACCTTGTGTGGCTTCCAACACCACACAAGTTTTGTTTTACCCAGAAAAGTTTTTTAAAAATTACCAACAAAACACTTTGCCTGTGGTTTCATACAAGTGATTCTGTAAATTTAATACCTGGCAAGAATAATACTCATTCCTCCTTCTAAGGAGCTGGTGGGAAATGGAACTCAGGGAGGCAAAGCCAAAGGGAATTTCAAGTTTATCTGCCATGACTTAATTTCACAAAAGACTTGACATCAATATGTCAAGATTTTAACAGGGATCTCTTTGAGACAAACAGGTTAAGCATGTGTTTGTACATTATTCTCTCCTCTTCTTTCTTTTTGAGTTCTATTTTATCCTGTAACTACATATTGTGACTGCATGAAATAAATTCTCAGAAAATGCTTTATTTCTATTGGCATAGCATGTTGTATAAATCAATGATACAGTCACTGTTTGGCCAAATACCTTATAGAGCAGAAAAAATAGTGTAGGCTTGCTTAACGAATTAGTTTCTATTAAGAGACAGAAAATTTGACTCTGAGAGTTTTTTCATTATGACTGCTCACCTAACTTTCGTGTATAAAGAAAATAGTGCATAAAGAAAATGAAGTTAATATTTTCTTTTTGCTGAGACTGAAAGAAAAAATGTACAACTTTTTAAAAAATCACTGAATTGGTTTCTTGATTTGCAAGACAGATGAGGGATTTTACTGAGAGCCACTTGAAATCAAAGGAATATCCCAGGTTATCTTCCCACTTGGGGTTTGGGGATCAGGTATCTTCCTAGTCTCAGACTCAGTATTGGTAGGGTTATGTGTATCTGGGAATATATGTGTAAGTTAACATAAAATTATTCATTATTTTAACTTCTTAATATTTAAGGCAATAATCATCAGTGGCACATCGTTACTAATGTGACATTTGAAATGACAACTGGTCACCCAACATTTTTTTCCCTTAATGGCCACAGCAATGTCATCTTACCCTTGATGGAAGAATGAATATCAGACAGAACTGCCTAGAGTAGACATTGTGTTTTAATATCTCTAAACCAGATGGGGATATCAGTCTTAAGAAATAGCATGATCAGATTCAGCCCCATAGGCATAGGCAGTGTACAAACTCCCTCACAATGACTCATGGGAAGAAGACAAGCAGGGGACGAGCAGCAGGGCCCTTGGCAGACTTACCAGGCAGATAGCTGCACAGTCTCTCCATTGAAGCCTGGACGGTGGAGTTGTGAACTTGAGCCAGCTGTTCAATCACAGATACCACCAGCACACAGCCTGTGGGGGGCAGAAGACCATGTCATCAGTGTCACACAGGGCTAGGGGATTAGGAAGGGAAGAGGCATGCCTGTGTCCTTAAGAAAACCAACCAAACTGTAGAACTTTGCTTGCTGTTTGTCCTTAAATATCTACTGTGCTCAAAGATGTAGTAAAATGAAATGTATAGTGAGAAGAGTAAGCTTGGGAGTTATCAGAGCAGTCCCGCTGTTTGAGCCTTCTGACTTTGGAGAAGGCATTGAATCTTGCTTAAATTCTGGAGAAACGAGGAGAAATTAGATAGAGCAGGGGGGTTTTCTACATTACAGATGGGTACCAGTTTTTCACATCCTACTTTAGTCTCTCTCCTCTGCAGTGGGTGTCTCCTTATCAGTCAGATCATTCCTGTACCACACAGTATGAGTATGTGACCTAGGGTCTGATTTCCAATTTTGGAACAGTAGTGGAAATTTCTCAGAAACCTGGGATTGAGTCTAATTTGTAACTTTGGACTCACTGTCTTCCCTTTGACCCTTGGTTTCTTTATAAAGCAAGAAATAAAATGTTTTTTATAGGGCAACTGTGCTATTAACTGGATTGTAATACAGAGTTAACTATCCCAAGTTACAAAGCACATGCTGGAAAATATGTACCAATATGATGTGTGTCTAGAAGAAAACCTGGGTTACATTGGGATGTATTCCTACTCTGATATAGGGCATGTATGACTGCCAGAGTTGTTAAGCTCATATTTCTTGAGGGCTCTATCACTTGCCTCATTCTACTGAATTTCTGGGAGAGCACAAACATCCTTTTCCTAAAAGAAGAGACTTTTTCTTCATATACAAGTTTTGTAGTTGGCTCAAGATCTGTAATGTGTGAGAGGAAACTTGATTTCATTGACATGAGAAGTCAGTACTTCTTAGCAGATTGTAAAGAAGACTCTCTAAAGAAGTTGACTAGAAACAAGAAGAATGTGAGAAGATCTGGGGTGTCTGGGCCCAGGAGAAGACTCAGTCTTGTTCATCTGTTCAAAGAGTGCGGCCCAGTTCACGTTCTAGTGCCATGAAAACCAAATTCCCTGCAGAACTCACAGCAGTGGTGACATTATGCACAAGTACTATGTAAGTTCGAGACAGACGAAAATCCCAGCATCAACACGGAGAAGTGGGTAAGAAACCCCAGCCCTACCTGAGAAAGTATTGCTACTGATGGCTACTAAGTGGTGGGGGAGTCAGTCTATTTTAAGGGTGTAACTTTCGGTGGGTTTACCAGGCTCCAGTGGATGAACCACAGTGAAGGGCATTTAGGGACACAAATCTGACTCTGTAGGTCTCTCTCTCTCTCTCTCTCTCTCTCTCTCTCTCTCTCTCTAGAGAGAGAGATAATATAAAATGTGTGGTTAAAATAGAGTATAAGAAATTGGGTGGGGGTAGTGAGGGGGTGTTGATAGGGGATGGGATCTAAATATAATAAAATATATTGTATGAAATTGGAAAAAATTCAATTAAGAAAAGGAAAAATAGAAACCAAATTCCCATCATGGCCCTCGAGAGACTGTGGGTAATGCAGTTGTGTACAGAAAGAAATAAAACCTATAAAATGAGAGACTGTTAGTGAGGAAATGAGAGACATTCACCTCTCTAGACACTGCAGGGCTCAGTGATACTTTCTTCTCAGTTATTCTGTTTCCTCTGATTGAGAGAGTGGTGCTCACCTGTCCTGAGATACTGAGACCCACAAATACCATCTTCCTCGGCTGACACCATCTACTTGCTATTGTGTTTGCTAACAGTGACCATCAAGATGGATTGATTTTTAAACTAATTCATGGTCCTTGAGGGGTTTCTAACATTGCAGTGAGTTTAGTAGCTAATACTGTTTAGTACTTTATGACATAAAAAGCCTTTTCATGTAAATTTGTTCTATTTTAAAAATAATTTAAAAATATAAATGCAATGCAATCCCATTTTAGAAAAACATTGAAATATGAAACAGCACAGCAAGATAATAAACTACTCAGTTCATCTGGCAATAACCAATTTCACTGTTATTTTAAGTCTATCAAATATATTAAACAAATAAAATTTAAGACTGCAAATGGAAACAATAGTAAATAGTTCTACTGCAATGTGATGAGAGGCTGCAGTGTAGCACAGTCAAAAAGTAGAAGGCTTTGAAAAAAAAACATAAAACATTGTGTTCAAATACTGGATCAGTCACTGGTAAATGCTGTGGCTTTGAAGAGCCTGTCTACCTTCTGAAGCTTCGTTCTTGGGAGTTTAGTAGTAGACTCTACTTCCTTGAGGGTGGAATGGGGTCCCATCATTTCTAACCAGATGCTTGGAGCAGTTCAGAAAATTGGCAAACACTGTTTATGCCCTTGATTTGAGCTTCCTCAAGTGCCCTGTCAGGAGAATTCTGGCTGTCAGCTGCTGGGGATCTTCCTGGGAAAGGGTTAATGACTGCATCTCCAGCTGCTTCCCAGCTCTAGTATCTCACTTGTTCTAGTCCAGTTCCCACTACTAGACATTGCCCCATTCCTCATTTTGAGTTAAACAGCTGTTAGCTTCTCTTGGGCCAAGCATCAGATTCATAGAAAATGTGCACAGTACTCATATAGAGGAGAACTGTGTAAAAAACCTGCTCTGAATCACTTCCTATGGCATTTCATCAGTGAGTTGCAGTGATTGGTACCCAGAGTGAATTCAATGCAGGGCGCACATGGGGACTTGGAAGTGATATTAGGAGACTTGATACTGGCACCAAGCAGAGAGCTTCCCTGGGAATTATGCCCACTGCAGTTATGATTCCAGACACCTTAAATACAATGGAAAACCATTATTAACCTCCAAGCCTAGCTTGCCATTGTTTTTAGTCATGAAGAACACCTTAAGCCTGTGCCTTTAAAAGAAACCAATGGCAAACTCCCTTGGGTGTTGTAAATGACTGAGGAGAGTTAGGGATACCACCAAGATAGTCTCAGACCACTGTAAGGATAAGATAAATATTGTCAAAGAAATAAAGCTAAGGATCATCTTGGGATGAAAATAGACTTGATGGCATTTTCTTGTTGAAAATATTATGATAAAGGAACATAAAATCAGTTGTGAGTTGTAATGCTGCCTCAGTTTCCTTTAAGTCAGCAGGCTTTGAGAGACAGAATCTTAATGGGTTTGAGACAGGGTCTCCCTGAAGCCCCAGCTGGCCTGGAACTCACTATGTAGACCAGGCTGGCCTCAAACTCACAGAGATCCACCTGCTTCTGCCTCCTGAGTGCTGGGATTAAAGGCGTGTGCCACAATGCCCAGCAAGACTTTGTTTTTAATGTGCTATTTACTGCCCTTCTCTTCCTTGTGACAATCACCTCTGGTTGTTCAAAACTTTCCTCAAATACAATAATCCTTGTGAAACTCCATCTCCTCTCTCCAATCAGAATCTGCAGCATCCTCCTCTCCCTTGCCTCAGAAGTCTGTACCACCATCTCTCTGTATCTGTGGCAGATGAGTTTTAGAGCCCCACACAGATGCCAAAATCTGGACATTCTCAATTTCATACATGAGATAGCCTAGTATTATTAGTATATAACTTATGCACATCCTCCCATAGACTTTAAGTCATCTTTTGATTCCTTACAATTCCTAATATGACATGTATACTTATTGCAAATAGTTGTTACACTGTACTGCTCAAGAATGACAAGTGAAAAAAGCCTATACATGTCAAGACAGATCATTATGCCGTTAATTAGTAGAGGTGATAAACGTTATCATTGAAATCTACCCATGACCTTATAGATATACACAGGCGCCAAGGACCCAAGTGCAACTGATTATGACTAGTAATAATCAGATACATACAGATTAGAGATGCATGCGCCAACACCTCAGTGTTAGTAGCCAAAACAGAGTCTTTCTAAACAGCATATTTTAAAATGAAATGGAGATATTTTTTAAAGGTTAAAAACTCATTCAATTTTATGTCTTACAGGGCTTATACTGAGTTCAATATTGTATAACTGTATTAATTTAACAGCAAACCTAAAAATTTTATAGCCACTTTTGAAAGAACTGTATTTTTGCTCTGGAAACTGTCACTGAGCATATTAAAGCTGTAATGATATGCTTCTAAAAAAATAAAAAATAATATTAAAAAAGTATATTTTTGATCAGAGGTTGATTGAAAACAAAGGTCTGGAAGCCATGGATGTAAAGGGCCTCTGTATTCATGACCCTGGACTGGAATCAAATGCTGCTCTGATGTCACCTTCCCAGAGAGCAAAGGTAGTAACTTTTTCTTCCACTCCAGTTCTAGCACCATGTAAGAGCACCACACATGTTTGATAAATGTGTAAGTGGCAGAAAACACTCTTGGGAAACACCCTCTGTATGTCTGGGGAAAGGGGTGCATCTTCAAGGAGACGTCCAGAAAATACTGTGTAATGCTATTGTGTAAGTAGAGAAACTAGCTCGCTGTTTTTTTTCTCCGGGGATGGGGGCAAAATTTGAATGTAGACTCTTCCAAATCAGAGCAGTCTTCTAACAATTGGCTTTAACAAAAGAAGCATACATTCACCACTGGCTACAAGATAGTTGTTCTAGGCAAGAAATCACTGGTCTTTGATGGGTCCCCAGATGAACAGAGTTTGGTCCCTGTGTACAGGGGACTCACCCCAAATTCCTAGCGACTTGATGGTCATTAGCAGCCTGCAGAGGCACTGGAAGAGCAGACAGGAGAGAAGCGTTCTCAGGAGAGAAACGAGTCCCGTGAAAGAGCGTGGCAGATTTCCCCATATTTTTCACAATTTAATTAGCAGCAAATTTTATTTCTCTTTGGTACTTAAAATAATAGTTTGCTATAATTAATGGCATAATAGACTGGCTGGGATGCAAGGCATGGAAACCAGCCGTTATTTCAGAGTAGCAGGAGTGTTGGAGGAACTAGGGACACAAAGGGACCCTTCTTAGAGTCTGACCTTAAGGAGTGTCCATTCCAGTGGCCCATGGGTCATGGTTTCCTTT